AGTTGTTACCAGCAAAGATAAGACGTTGCTGATCTGGGGGAATTCCTTCCTTATCTTGGATCTTAGCTTTTACATTTTCAATGGTATCAGCTGGTTCTACTTCGAGGGTGATGGTCTTTCCAGTGAGGGTCTTGACAAAGATCTGCATACCTCCTCTCAATCGAAGTACAAGATGGAGAGTTGATTCTTTCTGAATGTTGTAATCAGAGAGGGTTCTGCCATCTTCTAGTTGTTTACCAGCAAAGATAAGACGTTGCTGATCTGGGGGAATTCCTTCCTTATCTTGGATCTTAGCTTTTACATTTTCAATGGTGTCAGCTGGTTCTACTTCGAGGGTGATGGTCTTTCCAGTGAGGGTCTTGACAAAGATCTGCATACCTCCTCTCAATCGAAGTACAAGATGGAGTGTTGATTCTTTCTGAATGTTGTAATCAGAGAGGGTTCTGCCATCTTCTAGTTGTTTACCAGCAAAGATAAGACGTTGCTGATCTGGGGGAATACCTTCCTTATCTTGGATCTTAGCTTTTACATTTTCAATGGTATCAGCTGGTTCTACTTCGAGGGTGATGGTCTTTCCAGTGAGGGTCTTGACAAAGATCTGCATTCCTCCTCTCAATCGAAGTACAAGATGGAGTGTCGATTCTTTCTGGATGTTGTAATCAGAGAGGGTTCTGCCATCTTCTAGTTGTTTACCAGCAAAGATAAGACGTTGCTGATCTGGGGGAATTCCTTCCTTATCTTGGATCTTAGCTTTTACATTTTCAATGGTATCAGCTGGTTCTACTTCGAGGGTGATGGTCTTTCCAGTGAGGGTCTTGACAAAGATCTGCATACCTCCTCTCAATCGAAGTACAAGATGGAGTGTTGATTCTTTCTGAATGTTGTAATCAGAGAGGGTTCTGCCATCTTCTAGTTGTTTACCAGCAAAGATAAGACGTTGCTGATCTGGGGGAATACCTTCCTTATCTTGGATCTTAGCTTTTACATTTTCAATGGTATCAGCTGGTTCTACTTCGAGGGTGATGGTCTTTCCAGTGAGAGTCTTAACAAAGATCTGCATTTTCAATTTTACAGTAGGTGACCTTCAAAAATTAGAATAGAAAAATATTATCTAGTCAAATACAACATCAGTAATACAAGACGCTAGGCT